GGGGCTGCGGGGATGGCGGTGCCCCCTCCGGCTTCCCTGCCGCGCTCGCCCAGTTACCTGCGCGGGCGGGCGCCCTGCCCGCAGTGCTCATGGGGCATGGAGGAGAAGGCGGCGGCCGGCGCGGGCTCCCCGAGGGCGGCCGCCGTCCCGAGCTTCGCCGTGTCGGTGGACCCTGACGACATCCTCCCCGGCGCCCTGAGCCTCATCCGGGAGCTGCGGCCGCGCTGGAAGCCCGAGCAAGTTCGCACCAAGGTAGCGGAGGGGCGCGGGCCAGGGGTGGGGCCCTGCCGGGGCTGCGTGGACGTCCGTCCGCCTGGCCGCCTGGCCTTATGTCTTTCCGGTCGCAGGAAACCCTCGGGACGTGGTCTGGGAGCGCGCTTGCCCCTCCATGTATTTTGGTTCCTAAGCACCGCAAGGCTCACACCTTCCGGGACCCTGCGCCCACGTCTCTTCCCGGGTTCGCTGAGGTCCACCTGCCCACCAGCCTCCGGCTGCGCGTTGGGCCGCACCCCCAGCCCCGTGCGGGGGCCCCCCGGCTGCCCAGAAGCGCACCCCGCCAGCTCCGAACCCCGAAGAGAGAGAACTTTCAAGGGAGCCCTCTGCCCACCCACAAATTCCGCTCTGCACAGTGGGAGCAAAGCCTCCTGGCTCTGAGCAGCCTCTGTGGGCCCCAGGAGCCACCATGTGGAACTGCAGTCAGCACCCAGCCCCTCACCATGCGGGCGCACTCAGGCTCAGCACCCCTCCACGTACACACACAGGGCCCCCTCTGCCCCAGCTGGACCCATCCTCCTGGCACCTGTGGGCCGGAGGAGCTCGGGGCTGACTCTTCAGCTGACCTGCATTCTCTGCCAAGGGGCCTTCACGGCCGGCCCACCCCGACTCCTCTGGGACTGCTTGTGGAGGAAGGTGCTGGGCCAAAGCTCCATGCTGATGGGTCTTCTGGGTGGGGACAGCAAAGTTCAGGGGAGGTCTGGACTGAAGGTGGAGGAGGATGGACCCTTCTAGGGCGGGGAAGGGAGAACATTTTCAGAAAGCCCAGCTTGGTGTAAGAGGGTTAAGGCCTGAGATTAGTTCCCTCAAGGACCTACATGCTAACTGCTAGTTTCTCCGCTCTCTGTACCTCAGTTTCCCTACCTGCAGTTGGTTCTTACATCCTCTAAGGTCCCATCCAACTCTGTCACATTGTGTCCCCTAAAAGTCCATGGTTCCGTCCCCCTTATCACCCTGCTCCCAGTCCACTTGTGTCCTCTCTGTTCTGCTCTGGAACTCAGTAGCTCCGTGGACCTCTAGTTATCAAAGTCCTAGGATGGGTGCCAACCTTGGTACCCTCCTTTTCCCTCTGCCGTGGATGGGGTAAGAGGTACAGCAGAGAGCCCTTGGCTGGCAGTGCTGAGTAACCAATCAGGCTGTTCTGTTCTGTGTGAGTCCCAGGCGTCCTCTGCCCAATGGTCCATGGGGCTTGTTTCAGGGCCGAGATGGAGGAGTGTGGGGGTCTTACGCATGGTCCTCTGCTGTGGAATCACATCCACTAGAGGCAGGCCCAGGAGAAGTGAGTGCCCCTGAGCAGAGCCCAAGCCACCACTTTTTTCTTGAGTGCTCTAGTCTATCCCAAGGTTGGGGACAGTGTTCAGATCAACACCTCCTACCAAGTGTGAGACCCAGAGGAGCAACCGGAGAGATCTTGACCCATCACCCACCAGTGCCCTCTCCATATGCTAGCGCTTCACTGATGGCATTACCAACAAGCTGGTGGCCTGCTACGTGGAGGAGGACATGAAGGACTGCATGCTGGTCCGGGTGTATGGGGAGCGGACGGAGCTGCTAGTGGACCGGGAGAATGAGGTCCGGAACTTCCAGCTGCTTCGAGCACACGGCTGTGCCCCCAAACTCTACTGCACCTTTCAGAATGGGCTGTGCTATGAGTACATGCAGGGTGTGGCTCTGGAGCCTGAGCACATCCGGGAGCCCCGGCTCTTCAGGTAAGGGGGATGCAGGGTACTATTCATCTGTTCCTCAGGCTTCTGGCACATAGCCCCTGGCTAGCCCTCCAGAGACTCAGAAGAAGGAAATTCTTGACCAGCTTCCTTGGTGTAGAGTCGGTTCCATGGAGGAGAGTCCCAAGACCTGTGAGCTTCCCTGAAATTGCATGACAAGTGTGTGCGTGCTCGTGTGTGTGCATGTGTGTGTGTATGTACTGCTGTGCCTTGCCCTGCAGGCAAGGCTCTGGCTTGCTGTGGGTTTCCAGCTGAGTCTGCTAGAAGGATGAGTTGTGGGGAAGGAAAAGTGAGAATCTCAGCGAACATCGGACCAGAGCATCTGGCTCCCAAAGTGCAGAGGAGTCTGCTTCCTGACGCCATGCCTTACACCTCTGCCCACCCCTGGTCTGACCTGGAAGCATCCCAGTGCCTTAGAAATGAAACCCGAGCCAAATCCCCAGGGCGCTCAGGGCTTCCTGCCGCTCCTCGCTGTCTGCCAAGAGCTCAGGTGTGCAGGGAAAATAAGCCCTATCCAGGGTCAGCATGGCTTTACCACTGCAGAGATGCCCTTCCTCGTTCTGGGCTGAGCTTCAGGGCTCCCAGACAAATGGAAACCCAGGTTTGAGGAGCTGCTGAGGCCTCCATGGCCTGGAAGGAGCCCCTCTAGTAAATACCTGGTTTGTAGGGCCCAGTAACTGCACTTAACCTTCAAGCCCTGTGCATGCTGCTTGGGGTGTAGAAGGGGGAGAACTGAGACCAAGGAGTAGCCCCTAGTATTCTGTCCTCTCACTGTGCCAGGGCAGCAGTACCAGGCAGTATCCTTCCTCCCCCACAATGCCATGTGGAGGGCATCAGACTATAGTGAGGACTGAGGCAAGCTGGGGTGTACTCCTGACACTGGGCACAGCAGCATAGGGTCTGCCTGGGGCCCTCAGCATCTGCCCTGTCCAGCTGAAGGAGAAGACAACTGCTGCATACCAGGGCACTGAAGCCCACATGGGGGTAGGCCAGGAGCTTCTTCGCTCCTTCACACGCCACCCAGGCCGCCCCAGTAAGTGTACCTGACCTTCTGCACATAGCCCGTGGCTCTCTGCACATAGCCCCTGGCTAGCCCTCCAGAGACTCAGAAGAAGGGAATCCAAGGGCCCCCCCACCTCCATGCTGGTCTAGGGCTGCTGGGGCCCCAGGCTATGCACTTCCGGCTATGTGCTGTAGCTGTCTGCCAGTTGGAGAGGCAGGTATACTGCGGTGGGGTCTTCTCAGGGTCCAGCTGACCTGCTCCAAATGCATCCAGCCTGGAGGCGCAGGATCAGGGCAGGTGGGGACTCTGTCCTGCTTCTCCGCAGCGCTTCTCCCCACTCTCTGTGTCTTGCGCAAATAAGCTCAAACCTTGGCAGGTCCCCACCACTCCCAGTCCCCCTCCGCCTCTGTGAGCCTCATGCCGTCACTCATCCCCTCCGTGGAAACAATTACCACTGTCAGGAAGATTGAAGAGGGATTTAGGTTCCATAATAAGAACTTGGCATTTGGGGGAGAGCCAGAAATTGGGAGAGATGTAGGAGGCTGGCCCTTCCTTGATTTCCCCAGGATAGACCACGTTCCCCATGGGTGACGGTGGCTGTCTTCGGGGAAGGCCTCACCCTCCTGGGTTCCCCTGAACTCACCCCCACCCCCTGCTGAGGCTCTGCAGCAGGAAAATGCTGAGTGTTGAGGTTACTTTCATTGCTATTCAGACAACAGCCCTATTGATATTCAAGGAAACGCTGTTCGAGCTCTGTTCTGAATCTTCCTTGGGGAAGGAAGGCCAGGCCTGCCATCCCTGCCTTGCCCAAAGCCCAGCTGGCACCCTCCTGGCCCAGGGGCGCTGGCCTCCCCAGCACAGCCTCCTTTTCTCACCCACTCAGCTGCTGCCACACCCCTGCCTCTCCACCCTTGAGGACATGGGCACCTTGGGAGCTTCTTGGAGCCCCAAAACTGCTCTGTTATCCCCATGGGGTATGGCCTGTTCCCTCCAGGACCAGGCAAGTGGAAGGGGTGTCCTAGCATGGCTCTTTCGCGGGCTTTCCAGCAGTCACTGCTTTTGTTGTCTTTCCCAGTGCGAAGCCTGGCTGTTGGAGGCTTGGCAGGCAGCTGAGGGTGGGGCAACAGAAGGGCGACTGGCAGGGCTGGGGGAGCCCACTAGGACACAGGCCTTGCAAAGGGGTCCTTATCAAGGCCCTCGCTCTCTGACCCGTCAGTCCTCTGTCCGCCCCCATCTTCTCCCAGCAGCCTTTCCTGCCGCCCACTCCTCCTCTCCCGGGACCTTGGATAGTGTCCACAGGAGGACTTGAAAATAGAACGCTGGTTTGTTTTGCGTCCTTGGCACCCGGCCGCCAGCATCAACTCCCCATGGCAGAGGAAGGGGCTGCCTGTTTCCCTCCCTTGGCCTAGCTGATAAGACGTTTTTTCCCTGCCTAGTGTTATTACCCATGGATCTCTTGGTGGAAAAGGTCCTGCTGTCACCTCCTGAGAGGATGGAGCAAAGTTCAGAGGGGAGGAAGGCACTGCCCCGTGCCCAGGTGCCCCCTCTGCTCTCCGGGGCTGCTGTGAGCACCAGGGTGGGGTAAGGCATTGACCAAGGGCCAGCAGCCCTGTGCTTTGCCCTGCTCCCTACAGAGCCCCAGTCTGGGACTGGAGAGGATACTGCTAGGCTAACGGTCTTGCTGCATTTTCACGCCTTTGCTGAGACCTAGGGCTCTTGGGAGACTTGTAATGATCTCATGCTTCCAGCCTTCTTCTGGTCTGCCCTGCACAGAGGTTCTCTTCCTCCCACCTTCTGCTGCAGGTTAATCGCCTTAGAAATGGCCAAGATTCATGCCATCCATGCCAACGGCAGCCTGCCCAAGCCCGTACTCTGGCAGAAGATGCAGAGCTACTTCACACTGGTGAAGAATGAGATCAACCTTAGGTATGAAGCCCTGGGAGGGTCAGAAGCTGCTGCTGTCTTGCTGCCTTGGTCTGCTCACCCCTCCCCATCCCTCTAGCTCCAGCCCACCCATACGGGAGGCAGAGGGACACAAGGCCCAGGGTGGAGGTACCAAGAGCCTCCCGTGCAGCCCCTGCAGTCCTGGTTATTGAACATATGTCTGCAAGCAAGGTTGGGTGGACAGACTGCATCTTGAGAATGCTGCTCCGCAGTTGTGTACACAGGCACTTATTTCTCCTTGAATCTCCTGATTGCAGTAGGAGCTAGGGTCTGGGACAACTTCTGCCCATTTTACTTAAAGGGAACTAAGGGTCAGAGAGACCATGCTTTGCCCAGTGTCAGGCTGTCAGGCAGGACTTTTGTCTCCCAGCCCACGCTTTTTCTACCTGACCTGCCTCTGGACAGTGGGAGGACAGAGCCCTCTGCAAAGGGGAGGGACTGCAGCACAGGCAGAGCAGCTCAGCAGCCAGCACGCCCGAGGACGTCTACTTCCTGGACTCCTCTTGTGTCCCTGTGGCTCTGGATTGCTTGCACTCCACCTCGCTCAGCCCGATGCGTGGTGTTTGCTGCACTGCTCTTCCCAGGGACCGAGGGCAGCCCCTGTGCCTTTCCCCAGACAAGACAGGTTCCCTGAACTCTTCTGTCACTGTGAAGCAACAGTCCAAGACTCGCAGCTCCCAGATGCTTCCACATGCTAAAGTGCTGGCGGAAGTACTGGAGCCCAGAAGAAGGAGTCCTGAACCTCCCCAAAAGTCTCTAATCCCACTATGTACCCCGCTGCTCACATTATTGAGCATATATTTCTTTAAAATTTTAACTGACATGTAATTTACATATTTGTGGGGTATTGTATGACACCTCAATGTATGCATACAGCGTGTTATAATCAGGTGAGGGTAACTGACACACCCATAGACTCATTTATCATTTCTTTGTGTTAGAAACATTCAGAGTCCTCTCTTCTATTTTGAAATTACAGTGAAGTTAGACGTCGCGTTAGTTTCACATATTCTTGGGAGTAGGGTGTCCCCCTCCCTCTTCACAATGACAGTGAGGAGCTCTGAGCTGATGGGAGTGGCCTCTCACTTAAGGATTCTCAAGCACTGCTTTGGGACTGGCTGTCGAGGGTGGGCCCAGCCTGCCCTCTGTGTGATCATCTTCTGTGACACCTGTGTCACACGTTGCCTCTGGGATAAGGACTGCCCTCTCCCTGAGAGCCAGAATGGCGTGTAGAGGACAGGAGCCTCCCGCCTGCCAGCCACCACTGGGACTTGACAGATAGAAAACTGAGGGTATGGGACTTGCCCAGGGTCATCGCTGGGTCGTGACAGCTCAGGGACCAGGGCACAGGCCTGGCGCTCAGGGTGAGCCTGGATGCTACAGCTTCCTTGACTGTTGTCCCTGTGAAGTTTGGGGGGAGAACATGGTGGGGGACAGTGATCTCTGGAGAAGAGGTGGCCAAGTCCCTTCTCCTGTCATGCCTTGGACCTTGGACAAGTCAAGGTTTAAGTTATTTGAGCCTCTTTTGGGAATGACCCCTGCCCCCAAACCGAGCCATTGTTAAAGCAGACGGAGCCCTTTGAGCTCTGTCATTGCCTCATAAGCCCAGTTTACTCGGTTCTCATTTGACAAACACTGAGTGACTGAAATGAGAACAACAAAATGATGACGACTGTGATACTGGCTCTGCCCTCGAGGAGTGGGTGGCTGAAGTGCCAAGCTAAGGAGCCGGGACGGAGCTGAGCAGGCAGACAGTCGTGGTGGTGCTGGAACCATGGCTGTGGCTTAGGGAGGAAGCTCTAAGGGATGTTTGCGTGAGGCTTGGGTTGGACTCTAGACTTGATGTAGGGAGATGAGCTGAGGGCGCCTTGTCATTAAATGGGCACAGTGGTCCCAAACGTGAAATACAGGTTCCCTTGGAGTCTGTGCTGAGCAGATTCTCCACCCAAGCCTGGACATTGATCAGGGGTCTGGCAGTGGATGCCAGGACTCTGTGGCACGAACCGCCTTGAGAGGGCAGCTTGGTGTAGGAAGGGGGTGAAGAAGAGGGGGTGTGCCAGAGACATACAGAAATAGGTCCAGTTGACTTAATGTCTGCTTAGCCCCAGAGGTGTCCAGGGCGGCTGGGGACTGTGGGCTGGTGACTGCCTCCAGGTATGAAGAGAAGTTGCTGATGAGTGAGTTATAGGGAGGGCAAAGATGAGAAGCCAGGAAGCTGGAATACTTAGAAAGTCGCCCCTGGGGAGAAGTAATTTTTGCCCTGTTGGGTCAGAGAGCTGCATGGAGACTTGCCGGGCAGCAGTCCCTTCTTTCGAGCCCAGCCCCTCCGTCCCCTCCTGCTGTTTCTGGGGACCAAGGAGCAGAGGAACTGAGCTACCTGGGCAGAGGACCCAGCCCACGGCCTTGCAAGAGTCAGGCGGTGTCAGGACCAGAGGTGGCAAAGCTGGCAGCTGCCCAGGTGCCCAGCAGGGGGGCACTGGCAGCTGAGGGAGCTAGGAGGCCAGGACAGTTCCTACAGTAACGGTCTTCATGGCCTTGGGGTGGGCAAGGCGGGGTCAGACTGAAGTCAGGGACTGTGCAGCAGCACCTAGATGTTGAAGGTGTGTTTTGCAGGAAGCCTCCTCATTCTTATCTTGGGATGGTCTCAGTCCAAGGACAAAAGAATCTGAAAAGAAGGCTATGCTTTAAAGAGTGACCAGATCAAACCCCATCATAGGCAGAGCTGAAGTCCAGGGCGGGTGAGGCCACTGGCAAGGCAGCCTCCTGCACAGGCTTCCTGGCACCAAGAGGCCTTCCCAGAGCCTGAGGGCACCCTGTCTTCAAATGGGGTGTGGGACCTCTTGGTGAGGAGACGCGGCTATTTTTGGATCCTGGGCAGGCTAAGGACTGCTCTCCTCAGGCAGCGAAGTCCAGGGTCCAGCCGTACCAGAGCTATGGAGGCCAGGAAGAAGCCCTTCTCCTTTCTGGTGCCTCAGTTCCCCCTTGGGGTGAGATTGGAGGATCTAAGATCGCCTTAGTTTTGACCTTGTCAAAGCCTGAGAGGGAGGCTTCCAGCTCTTGGTTTCCCAAGGAGGAGGTAGGGATGCCTTAGTCACTAATACCATTCCTGCGTCCTGTCCTGTGGGGTGATGGGATGGGGCCTGTCTCACCCTCAGCCATTTCTGTGAGCCTTTGTTACCCTGGCCAGAGAAACACCAAATAAAACCCCAGCCCCGACCCTGTTCGTTTGAGGGGCCCTGGGTTTTCAGGGCCTGGCCTGCTTCCTGGGCCTGAGTGACCTGTCTGAGAGACGATAGGTGAGGCCAGATGCTCTCTCAGTCCTTCCACCATGACTTTATCTGCTGCTGGAGTGTGAGGCGGACAGCCAGGTCCCACCTCTACCTCCTGAAGAGCACTCCATGGCACTAGGCCCTCTGGTGCCCTGGGAGGGGCCGGAGGGATAGGGCTTTCTCAAGCCTGGGGCACTTTCCTCTTAGAGTCTGGGCTTCTCCCAGGCCTTGTCCCACATCCTTGACCCCGGTGTGATCTGTATCTCTCTCTGCTGTCCTGTGGGCCTCTTCCTCTCTCAGTCTGGAGTCACAGGCTCTGGACCCTCCTCCTTGCCATCTATGTCCTGTGCCTGCTCCCTTACCTTCTCACCCTTTCACACAGTGGCAGGGATGACTTTCACCCCCAGATTTTCATTCTAGTCTCTCATCAGGACCCAGAAGGTCAGAAAGCCTTCGTGCCTTCTTGCAGGTGATGGGAGGAAGGGTCTGAAAGGTTAGCCATTGGTCCGAGGTCTCTTCCCAGGCTACCACTCAGGGCTCTTGACTCGCAGCACCTGCCTGTCTACCCCACCCCTCTCCCCACCAGCCATCTTTTGGCCCTTGTCCAGCCTCTCTGCAGATGTCCCTCAGGTGGAGGTGTTGGAGCGGGAGCTGGCCTGGCTGAAGGAGCACCTGTCTCAGCTGAACTCCCCTGTGGTGTTCTGTCACAACGACCTGCTCTGCAAGAACATCATCTATAACAGTGCCAAAGGTAGGGCCAGGTGGTGGCAGGGCACGGGCTGCAGGCTCAGCTGGCTTTAGGAGCCTGTTCCTCAGGCTGGCACTTGGAGAGGCAAAAGGAGGCCTGGATTTTTATCCTAAATTAATTTTTAAGAGATAAGGGGAAAAAGAAACAAGAACTTGCCATTTAGAAAAGCTTGTCCCAAGAAATGACTCAAAATCATGATGTGGGAGGTCCTCAATATTAGGGCACCCAAGCTGTTCCTCTTGACCACTCTTGGGGCATCCGAGGACATTGTGGCAGCTCTAAGCCATCAGAGTAAGCCTCCCATTGTTCCTGGCAAGTGCCCCTCCCAGGGACACAGTTGTCCTGCATGTACCAAGGGGTTTGTTCCGGGACCCCTCAAAAATACCAAAATCTGAGGGTGCACAGGTTTTTCATGTAAGTGACAGTGTTTGCACTAACTTATGCACATTCTCCTGTATATTTTAAATCATCTGTATTATGGTACCTGATGTGCAAATATTATGTGAATAGTTTCATATCTTGTTGTTTAGGGAATGACTAGAAAAAAATCTGTGTTTAAATCAAACTCAATTCTTTTCCCAAATACTTTCAGTCACAGGATGTGGAACCTGCACACCTGGTTCAGCTATACTTAGCTTTATTTTTGATCTTTAGCCATGTTGAGGTCTTGAGACAGGAAGAGCCTTAGAACCCAGTTATGCAAGGGGGATAGCAGGAGCTGCGGGAGGGCAGAAGGGCAAGTGGCCAGGTGGAAGTAGCTTAGAAGATTGCTGCAAAAGCTAGCAAGAAGCCGGACACGGTCGTGCGTACGTGTAATCCCAGCACTCAGGAGGCTGAGGCAGGAGGCTTGTCATGAGCACGAGGCCAGTCTTGGCTACATAGTAAGTTCAAGGCCGGCCTGAGCTACACCATGAGACCTTGTCTCAAACAACAAACAAAACAATCAAGAGCTAGCAAGGGTGAGTTGGTACATTCCACAGGCCTGCAGAAGCTTGACCAGGCTCTCCTTCCAAATCGGGCACAAGCCCACGTGGCCTCTCCTCTGCTCCTAGGTCACGTGCAGTTCATTGACTACGAATACACTGGCTACAACTATCAAGCATTCGACATCGGCAATCACTTTAATGAGTTTGCAGGTGAGGAGAAACTACTGTTTGACCCTACGCGAGGCCCCACCCTGTGCTGGGGGCCAGGCCCACGGGGTGACCTGGAGGTGGGTCTGGACTTGGCAGGTGGAGGCCAGACAGCCCCTGTCCTGCAAAGAGTCACAGCTTGACAGGGAAGTGCAGCTGCATGTCTCATGGGGGACGCAGGACCCGCACGCACAGCCGACCTCTGCCGCCTCCGGGGCAGTTCGGTACAAGTTAGGAAAACGTGTCCTGAGGAGGATCCCAGGGATTCTTGACCTGGCACGTGAACTGGAAAATGACCCCTTCCTCTGGGCAGATGCAGCCAGCACGGCACAGGATGACATACCAGCGTCCGCTCACCCTTCATCCTGGTTTCTTATCAACCTATACAATTAAACGTGAGGGCCGTGCGTGCAGATAGAGGCAGAACAAGCTGAAAGCAGCTGTTTGCCTGGTGGCCTGGAGAGAACAGTCTAGGTGAGATGAGTTAAAATCGTATCCTATGTAACTCGACTCGCCAAGTCCAAATCCAAATCTGGCTTTGCTGCTTAGTTTCTGTGACCCTGAAAAATGAAGATGCCATTGGCACCTACTTCATGGAGTGGATCACACACACACACACACACTCTCACACTCACACGGCACATCTGAGCATCAAATCAGAGGTTGCTGTTATCAGGCCAGGTAGCCTTGCTGCAGCAGCCAGGGAGGCTGGAGCAGGAAGGAAAGGGGTTGGACAATCCCTAGGGGCTGGAAATCGTTCTGTAAAATGCATGATATGCACAGTAGAACCATTTATGTAAAGGCAGCGGGCAAGTTTTTTCAGCCTGACGGCTTGTTCAAAACAATTAGGACCAAGGAAGCAACTGAGATGGAGCCGAACACCGGGGCTGGAGGGACATCCCAGGCTAGCAGGGAGGTCTCAGCATGCCACGGCCAGCCCCTGTGGCTTTGGACAGGTAAAGTGTGCCCAGGACAATTGTAGGACCACCTCTCAGCAGTCCAAGCCAATCTTGTCCCTTCTGGAGCCCCAGGTGACAGTTTGCCAAGCAGAGTGAACCCAAGGGTACAGTTTCCCAGGGCAGCGAGCAGCTGTATCTCGGAGCCCGAGGGACAGTGCGGCCTCAGCTGGGCTGAGCAGAGGCCAGCATGGGCAGGGAACCAGGGCGGTGAATTCTCAGCTTCCAGGCTTGTCGGGCTTTCCAGAAGGATAATTCCTAAGCATTTTAAGTCCTTCTTGCCCACTGCATAGGGCAAAGTCCAAGTGGAATTTCTCCAAAGAGGCCAGTTGTACCCTGCTGCGGGTGGGAGGAGAGATTAAACTGTAGAGTGCCCCCCTGGGGTCTCTGGCACCTAGAACTGGGAAACAGGTTCTAGGCACTGGGAGATGAGACCTAGTCCCAAGCCCACCTCTGCCTGCCCGTGTGACTGCGGCTGGCTTCTTCCCTCAGGACTGAGTGCTTCTTCAGGGACAGGAGGGATGCTTGGGAAGAGACCTTGGGGAAGGAGGCCTGGACTTGGTCTTGTCTTAAACCGCCTCTTTCATATTGCCCCTGAAGCCAACAACTCTGCCACCATGCCCACGATGTGGCAGGTGGCCCTGGGCAGCAGCTTGAGGACTTCTGGGAAGGTGGGGCTGGGAGGAGCTGCAGCTGGCCAGTCTGAGCCTGGCTGTGTTGGAATCATCCAGAGGCCGGGCTGGGCTGAGGTGGGTACGCCCCAAGGGGTGTTTTCAAGTAACTGCCAAATGCTGCTTCATGTTTGACATTCTGAACTAAGTCCAGCTCCCTCATCTGATAAAGATTCAGGCCTGGGGCCGGGGATATAGCTCAGTGGCACAAGTGCCTGCCTAGCAAGTGCAGGGTCCTGAGTTCGATTCCCAGTACCAAAAAACAAAACAAAAAGATAAAGATTCAGGCCAGTGAGAGTAGAGGACTTGTCCAGGATTACCTGGAGCCTGGCCTGAGACAGGCAGACAGTGCTGACTCTGCTTTAACCCAGAGCCTTCTGTGTACCCCGTATACAGTGATTCAGCCTTCTTTTTTTCCTGTAGTAATGGAGTCTAACCCAGTAGTAAGCTACTACTGAGCTACATACATTTCCAGCCCTTTATATTTTTTAATTTTGGACCAGGTCTGGCTAAGTTGCCCAGGCTGATCTTGAACCTAAGATCCTCCTGCCTCAGCCTCTTACATTGCTGGCATTATAGGTGTGTGCTACCCAGAACAGGGCCTTGCCCGTGTCAGCCCCAGGGAAGCAGTGGGATAGTCTAAGAAGCTGGGCAGCTTCTGAGAGGCAGCCCAGGGGTGGGGGGTTTGGCAGTGGCTCTGGGTGGTGGCCCAGCCCCTCTGTCTCTCCTGCCTCCCACCAGGTGTGAACAGCGTGGATTACTGCCGGTACCCTGCGCGGGAGACCCAGCTGCAGTGGCTGCGCTTCTACCTCCAGGCACAGAAGGGCACGGCCGTGACCCCTCGGGAGGTAGAGCGGCTCTATGTGCAAGTCAACAAGTTCGCCCTGGTGAGTGCCTGAGACAGGGGCAGGGCAGGGCAGGGCAGGGAGCTGCACTCAGCCTCCCACCCCCGCATCCTAGGGGTGGTCTGGAAAGAGTCATCTCAGCATCCCTAACACCAAGATGACCTTGCCGCCCCATCAGGTCACTCCTTCCTGAGAAGTGGAAGGAGCCGCAGCTGGCCAGTCTGAGAAGTGTTGCCCAAACATCTCAGCTTCCTTTGTTAGCAGTTCTTCTGTGTGAGAGAAGGAGTAGTTCTTCCCACTGTCCAGCTTCTGCCTTTCCTGTTGCATTTAGACCCATCCTTTTTGCTCCTCAGCCTCTGATCCTCCCTGTTACCACCTCCTGGGCTCAGAGCTCAGTCTGCCTTTTCCAGCAGGCTTTTCCTGCTCCCATCCTAGAGCCTTTGGGTCTCAATTCTGAGCCCGACTGACCAAGGAAGCAGGCCCATGGAGGGTCTCCACTGCAGTGGGCCCGGGGATTGCTGGCTTATTAGACAAGTTAGCTGCCCGGCATTTCTCAACACGCAGCAGAGCTTCATAAAATCTGCCCTCCTCCGTGATTTCAGATTCTCTCTCTGTTCTCACTGGCACAAAACTGACTGCATTAGCTCATCTTCCTTGGTGCTGCTGAGAAACAAAGTGCTTCTGCTCCCGTTTTTGCAAAACCACCGTCACACCTGCTTGTGCACCGAAGCCCCCTAAGTCATGAAAGGGACTAGGCAGAGGGACTTTGTAGCCAGCCTGAGTGTGCAACTTTAGGATGGGGCAGGAGAGACCCGGGAGGTGGGGCCTCCAAGCTCTGAGTGGTGGGGCACTGCTGTTGGCTCAGAGGCCGTCAGGAGCCAGGCCTCTCTGGCTCAGAAGAAAGCAGAGCTAAAGCTCTGTCAACACCCATAGTTGGGACTTACTGGTTCCCAGGTCTGGAGCGTTTCCCACCCAACTGGGGAAGGGGTGGAAGTCACTTTAGCAGGCTGCCAGCCACCCAGAGCCTTGCTGTCCAGGTGGCTGGGACGCTGCTGCCCATGTTTCTCTGGTCTCCCTGCACCCACGGAAGAGTGCCAGCCCTCCACTGGCACCAGCCCATGCTCTGGCTTGGGGTCACCTTAGCCTTGAAGACTCCTGGAGACTCCCACAGCTAGGGAAGAAGCAGGGGTGGAATGCACCCGCTCAGTCAGGCTGGGCCCCCCCACCGCCCCCGCGAAGGCCGTACAAGCACCACTGTCCAGCCAGACCCTTGGTGGCTACGCGCTGGGGTCTGGGTCGAGCTGGCTCTGCTTGTCCCTTTCTGGTAGTACAGCGAAGCCCCCGACCAAATGCTGTCCAGGGGCTTGGCCTTCACAGCCTCCCCCCTTGTCTCTGCCAGGGTCCGAGCTCTGTGTCTTCCCAGAGTGACTGCGCCCCTGGCTCAGTAGCGGGCGTCCCAGGCCTGGGCCCGGCCAGGCTGACGCCCTCTGGTCTGTTTTCAGGCCTCCCACTTCTTCTGGGCCCTCTGGGCGCTCATCCAGAACCAGTACTCCACCATCAACTTCGACTTCCTCAGGTGAGCGGGGCCAGATGCAGGGGTGGGCGGGGCGGGGAGACCTTTGAGCCAGGGTGTGGGGACAAAGGACAGTCCAGATGCGCCTGGAGGCCCCTCCTCTGCTCTGCTGACCTGGCCCCACTGCAGCAGGTTTTCAGTGGGGTCACGGATCCAGGGAAGCACCCCAACAGCACCAGGGTATCCAGTAGGAGATTCCCCTGATCCTACTGTCCCCTGCCACCAACCCCACTCCCAGAGCCTGGTGGTACCTCTTGCAAGGACTCAGACCCACCCACTCCTTCAGTGGCTCTCCGTGATATTGAGGACCATACCTAGCCTGTCCTTGACTACCAACATATCGAGGGGGTCCTTTGTTTTGAAATACAAGTGTGACCTATGGGCCGGGAAACATTTCCTCCTTCCATTCTGGTCCAGTCTGCTTGTCTTTGTCCCCATCTAACCTCAGCTAAAAGAGAAATCACTACCCTGGCTCCTAGGTCTCATAGAAAAATGCAGGCCCAAAGCCCAGCAAGGTACTGCACTCACACCAGTCTGTTAAAAAAGTGAATGCAACAATGAATGAAGTCTGGCTGAGTGTGGTGGCATATGCCTGTAATCCCAGCACTTGTGAGGCTGAGGCAGGAAGATGTAGCCTGAACTACATAGTGAGACCCTATCTCAAGAAAGAATGAAGCTGGGCGTGGTGGCGCACACCTGTCCCCACACTTGGGAGGCAGAGGTGGGAGGATCAGGATCACCATGAGGTCAAGGCCAGCCTGGGCTCTATAATGAGTTGAAGACCAGCCACAACTACATAGTGAAACTGTGTCAGGAAATAAGTATTGGCAAGGATATGGAAAAATTAGAACTGACATACACTTGGGTTGACTGTAAATGTGGGCAACAGCGTGGTGGCTCTTTACACACTTAAAAGATAGAATGACCATGTGACCTGAGGATCCTGCTTCTGGGGATACATCCAGAAAAATTCAAAGCAGGGTCTCATAGAAGTATTTGTATACCCATGTTCCTAGCAACAGGCTTGGTAGCGAAGAGGCGGAAGTAGCCCAGGTGTCCATCAACTGATGGATGGATGGATGGATGCCTTACAATAATTACTGTCTTAAAAATGAAAGGAAAAGGCCAGGCACGGTGGTGGATGCCTATAATCCCAGTACTTGGGAGGCTGAGGTAGGAGGATCACTGAGAACTCGAGGCCAGCCTGGCTACATAGTGAGACCCTGTCTCAAAAAAAAAAAAAAAAACTAGCACAGGCTGCACCATGGATGGATCTTGAGGACATTATTCTAAGTGAAATTAGCCAGTCACAAAAAGACAGCCATCATACGGTTCCTTTGGATGTAAGAGGTAATTAATGTCAAGTTCATAGAAACAGAAAATAGGATGGCAGCTGTAGGGCTAGGGTGAGGGGGGAGAAGGAGTGTTGTTTAATGGGTATAGAGTTTGTTTTGCAAGATGAAAAAGTTCTGGAGATTTCCTTGCGCAACCATATGAATATCAACATTACAGATCTGTGAAAACAAAACTCCATGCAAACATGTTTGCTGAAGGATTGCTCCAGTCTGATCTAAGAAAATCTATTTGAACCTTTAAAAAATCAATCTGGGCCAGGACAGACCTGCCCAGGGCTAGATGAGCTTGGAGCTGGTGAGGACCCTCCTTCCCCGGCCTCCCATCTCACTCTCAGCTTCCTTTCGGCTGCTGGCAGGTACGCAGTGATCCGATTCAACCAGTACTTCAAGGTGAAGCCTGAAGTGTCGGCCTTGGAGATGCCAAAGTGACCAGTCCCCCAGCCCAGTCCTCCCCGACCTGTCTGCTTGGCTCTGGGCTCCGCACCCCTGGACAAGGTGGGAGCAGGGACAGGCAGATGCCAGGAAGAAGGCCCCTGGTGGATGCCACCGAAGACCTCATTCTCCTGTCTGGAGGGGCTGACAGGCCCCAACACGGGGGCCCTATCCCTCTCCAGGCTGGGGAAGAAGTGCCTGCAGACAGCCAGGGCCTGGTCCATCTCTGCTCCAGAGAAGCACACATTCCCAGCCCTAGGCCTGCTGGTATTGGGCTGCCTTAGATGTGTCTCTGACCCTTCCTGGCAGGGGAGGGGAGGGTCCTTTCTACCTCCGATGCGATGCCCCAGCCTCCAGCATCTTTGCGTCCCTGTGGCAGGCCCCATGTGGGAGGTGCTGACCCCCAAACCAGCCTCAGGCCAACCCTGACTACTTGGTGTCCACAGCCTGGGGACAGGGCCTAGAATCCAACGCGGTGGCCACGGCTGCCTGGTCTGAGCCCTCACTCGCACCCAGGCAGCTCCTCCTTCCCAAGCTGCAGACAGGAAGTTTCCTTCCGCTCTGTCATTGCAGCCTGTTGGGGAGGCAATGGAGTGGCAAGCCTGACCCTCCAAAGCCAGGCTCTTGTGGCTTGGCAGAGGGGACATGGCCAAGGATGGGCTGGCTGGCACCAGGGCCTCCCTTCCAAGAGTCTGTCTCCCCATCTCCACCTTCCGTCCCAGAGTTGACCCAAGGTCTTCCCACTTGGGAACAACCGATTGGGTCAAGGGGCAGGAGCCAGGGGTCTGCAAGGTCCCGTACAAGGGGCCTGGGCAGGACCAGATCATGAAATTGCCTCCATCGCCCTTGTGTCCTCAAAGCTTCTCTGAGGTCCTCCTGGCTCTGGCCCATGAAAGTGTCACATTTGTAAATTAACATGGATTTATGCATTAAAATGTTCGTTTCTGCACTGCCCTAAGGGACAGTGGGGGGACTTGACTTGGGGGTGAGGTTAGTATCCTTGCAGAGGGGCTGAGGTGTGCTCCACCTTCCCTGCCATCCCCGTGCTGAGGTCACTGTGGCCGTGGCCCACACACTTCCTCATCCCTGGCTCCCGAGGGTCCCAAGCCCCGACTGACGTGGGCAGGGAGGTGGTTCTCAGCTGCCCTGGCTTTGAGCCGACCGGCTTTGGTAGTGGGCTGCGGGCTGTGGCTGCAGGAATTAGGGGAGGCAGTGCAGCCCACTAGAGCAAGTGCTCACCACCCCCTTCCTGCCCATTCTGGCTCCCGGGCTTTGGGGCGGGAAAGGGGGCGGCTCCTCCTGACAGCAGGCAAGAGCAGTTCCACGGGCCAGTCTGTCACTTTCTCAGAAAGACAGGAAGAGCAGAAAATCAAAGGTGAAAATATTTGAAGTCCTGAAGGCCTCAGAGGCAACAGCAGAAGCCGCCTGCCAGGTGGACTCTGGCTTCGGTTTCGCCTGCAGATGTGCCACGGTGCCATGGCAACCACCGGACCTTGCACAGGCAGCCGGGGCCTTCAAGGTCACAGTGATCTAGTGGGCTGCGCAGGGACGACAGGGCGAAGATGGGCCGCAGGTGGCTTATCCCAGGGGTGGGCTGGCCGAGGACCTGCCCTGCCTGTGGACTGACTGCGTCCACCGCCGTGCTCCTCCCAGAGTCACCTCTGGAGCTGAGCGCGGAATCTGCCACTGTGAAGCCAGCTTCCTGGGGCCCGAGGTCACCGCAGGGAGGGGCTGGGGTATCATCCTTTGCACCATTGCATGGGTGGGTTGATCCCAGGCCCCTCCCGCTGTCTTTGGTGACAAACAGTTCCACTCCTTTGGTCCTAGGGTGGTGAAAGACCTTCCCTTCAGACCCCGAGCCCCGCCCCCAGGCTCCCTGGCTCAGTGCCAGGCCTTACTGTGGCCTGTGTGCCCCCCACACACACCATGCACGAGCCCCAGGGGGCAGAGGACAAGCTTCGTGGCCCAACCTTCCTGGTAAAAATGACCAGCACATTCTGTTCCCAGCCTCTGCAACCCACCTGACCGATCCTGCTTCTCATGGGGCGGGGGTGGGGGAGGGAAGGGCTAGCCAGTTGAAGAGGACTCAGTGCCGCGGCAGTGCCGTCAGCTGGAAGGAGGCCGCAGGACAGAATTACCTTTGGAGGTGCTGCCCCACCGCACCCTGCCCCGCCCTGCCCCGCCCCGCAGGCCACCGAGAGCCTGGGAACAGGGCAGCTGGGGACTCGGGACCCAGAGGGCGGGTGCCCAGGAGACCACTAGGACGCAGAGGGTCAGGGGAACTGGCAGTTCTGGCCGACAACCACTAGGGGGCAGCCAGGAGGAAGGCGCGTCGGGCCAGGGTTCTCTTCCGCAGGTGCCTGCGCGTTCCCAGGAGCAGCTGCGCATGTGCGGAGGGGAGGCTGCACGCTGAGGGCTGAGCTAGTAAAGGGCCGCGGGCCAGCGCCCCGGGAACCCTAATTCTAGGGGAGTCCACGCCAGAAACCTCGTGGGTCTGTGGCCTGGAATCCAGCACCGAGTTTAGGAGCCCCGTCACCTCACTGGTATTCAAGTCTCTGTTTCTACACATCCTGTGTCTTCATGAATGGTGGGCATGGTGATGCACACCTGTAATCCCAGCACTTGGGTGGAGGGGCTGAGGCAGGAGGACGTCCGAGAGTTCAAGGCCTGCCTGAACTACATAGCGAGACCCTGTCTCGAGAAACAAAAAGCAAACATCCTGTGTCTTCTCTAGAACACCTTTGCGTAACAGTTACGCCACAAACCTACCTGCACCCTCGCCCCCTGGCTGTGAAGCAAGCCATCTTGTCCTACCCACCCGATCCTAGTCTCCACTGTCTGAATTAAACCTCTTAACGTCCTCTTAACCATTTCTCTAAGGACACAGCCACCAGGACCCCTCCAGGCCTCCTCTATGCAGGCTGCCTGCTTCTCAGCCTCTCCGCGGGCGGCTGGCCTTTCCTAGAGATCAAAGGAGAGGCTGCCACCTGGGAAAGCTGCTACCAGGGGGGCAGCAGTGAGCCCTGGCACCTCCCTGGTTGTGAAGATAAGCCTCTATTAATCCAGCTCAAGTCGCTTTCACAAGAATTGTGGTTGCTGCCCTCATTCTATGCTGATTAATTTTTAACCACAAGAGCGGTCTTTTTACAGACCATCATTTACGTTCTTTTTGCAGACTTTCACCCTTTCATCCTACTCTTTCAGGGCCCTTATTTCTCCTGTGATGAGGCTTTTGAAATTGTTATTCTAACCCGAAGGTCATGGAGCCCGGAAGCATATTAGCGGGTCCTGTAGGGCTGATAGCTCAGAAATGGGCACGGGGCATGTGCCTCTGCGCCCTTTTCCGGGATGAGCCCACAGTTTGCTTTCGAGGCTCAAAGGGCAATAAGGTAAGAACACGGAGTAGTATAACACCCCTGTTTTAGGGTGCGGACAGTGAGACCCAAAGGGGAGACTAACACCGCACCCCCAGCCCCCCCCACCTGGCTCTGGGGCCTCCTGGCCTGAACCGCTTCCTCCAGGCCCCGTAGCTGTAACTAACACAGGCTACCACCAGGGGGCGGCAGTGCCCAGGCTACTGGCGCCTGAGGGTTCTCCCCCTTCCTCGTAGGGATCGATTCTGACACGGTCTCTTTATTATGCCATCAGAAAACAAATGTGCTGGTTAAGTTACTCATTATCTCATTAACAAAATAAAGCACTATCTATGTTTACAGTCATAAAAAAGAAACAGCCTGGAAGGAGGGACGGACGTGGGGAAGGGAGAGATGGGGGCAGGCCCTGAGGGATGAGAGGTCCCCATTAGGGGTCCCCAATTGGGCCCCAGCTGTGGGGAGACCTTGGGTCAGGTGCCAATGGGACTGATGTTCTTAGGAAACATTAACTGCTCACGCCAGTGGGGAAGGGGAAGCCGAGTCTTCAGCAATAGGGAACGCCCGCCGCGAACTCCGGGAGTAAGGAATGGAGACCAGCTGCCATGGGGTCCCTCACTGGACCTCTGTCATTGACTGCAACTCTGCCCGACTCCTGGGACTCGGCCTGCGCCCAGGGGTCGGGCACCAGGACAAAGCTGGTGGAAGCCGAGGCGCATTCTTACCCTGCTCAGAGCTAAAAAAGGCTCGTGGGAACTGAAAGACAGTCGGGGAGGGAGGTCAGCAAGGCTACGGGGCCCAGAGGCAGCCCAGGGGCCCACACAGACCCAGAAAATCCAGAGGGCAGGGCCAGGCTTGGACAGGGGAGAGAGAGAGGGCCTTGCGGAGAGACGGGGTCGGAGGCGCACACAAGGACACACAGAACCTGAGACACCCAGACTGACAAAGAGGTAGCAATTCGGGGACAAAGAGAAGCACAGAAGGGGCCCCCAGAGAAGCAACAGTGGCTGGCACGTAGTGGGCACGCAATAAATACCTTGTGCAATGAATGGATGAAAACACACGCATGTACACGCACACACTACACACACGCACGCACGCACACAGCAGCCAGAGGCACAAAGGGCTTGGCAGAAACTGACGGTGAGGGACAGTCAGACCCTTTTGCAGAATACAGTGATCCTGGTGACAGGAGTGATCAGGGTGTGCGTGTAGGAGGGAGTGTTGGTCCCACAGGACAAGCACGGAATCAAAGCACGTGACCCGGGGGGACAGATGTACAGCTGCCACGCCCCGCGGTGGTGGGCCTGCCAGAGGGAAGGGTCACCCAGTGTCCCCTGCCGGGGCCCGGGAGCTCAGCCAGCTCACCCAGCACTACCACGCAAGTCCTGCCACCAAGGCCAGAGCTCCTCGGGGTGCCCAAGGCTGTCGGGGAGGAGGGCTCTCCCCTTGCCAGTGCATCTACAAGTGCACGGCTCTGACCATCCCTGGGCGCCCCACGTCCAAGTACCAACATAGTCCAAGCCGGCTGGCTGTGCCCGGGGCGGGTGGGGGGGGGCTGCCCCAGGGAGGAGGGCCAGGCCAGCCACTGGCTCAGTCTGTGAGCACCACCAGCTCCCCATCACTCTTCTCTTCACCCTCGGAGTCCTCGTCTCCGCTGTACCGGTACATCTCGCCATCGGCCACCGAGTGCCTGTCGTCGGCGCCCTCTCCCTCCTCCCTGAGGCTGCAGGTGTTGACGATGACAGGCATGTTGGGGTCCAGGCTCTGGGGGACATAGTGCTCCACCAGAGGCTGTGCCAGGGGCACCCCTGCTGCCCGGGGGTACAGGATGTCTGAGGAGCTCATCTGTACCTGGCCAGCCTGTGAGCTGAGACACAGAGGGGGGCACGGTTATGGGGAGCCCCTGACCCCTCCACCCCAACCCAGCTCCCCCTGGGCCTCCCAGCCCACCCCTGCTTGGCTCTGTGATGCACACCCTGGTCCCTGGTCTGTCTCCCAGGGGCCAAATTCACCGTCAGCTTCTGCAGATTCAGGTAACAGTCTCAGGGAATCACACGTGGATCCAACTGGGGAACTACCTGGTCTAGGTGCCCTGGGGACCCACTAGGATGCCTGCTTTGGGCAGGAACCTCGCTGTAGGGTGGATCCGTTCGTCACCAGTGGGATCTCCTGGCACACATGCCAGTTCCCTCACCCCGTCACTCAGTCACATGTCCATGGCCTCAGCCCCCAACACACAGGTGTGATCCATCACCCCTGGTACACAGTACCCTATCGTGTGCACAGGCCGGCCACACACAAATGCCAACCTCTCACACAGCCACACACACCCCGCCGCTGGCACCCGGGCTGGGCCTGCTCACGGGATCACGTAGCTCTGGCGGGCGTCCTGGCGGCGGGTCCTCATCAGGGCCTTGTATTCGCCCACACGCAGCCGCTTGCCCTCCACGATGCAGGTGCGCTTGGGTCGCGGCTTGTACTTGTAGTCGGGGTACTTCTCCAGGTGCTGCCGGCTCAGCCGCGCCTGCTCCTCGTAGTAGGGCTGCTTCTCCTGGTTGCTCATGGACTTCCAACGGGAGCCTGGCCCGGCCCCAGGGCAGGCAGTCAGGGCTAGGCTCCGCCGGACACTTCCAGCCCCCAGCAAGCCCTAGCTGCCTCAAGCAGCCTCTGGTGCCCAGGTGGGGTCAGTAAGACGCTGCATGCATACAAGCAGCCAAACACGGAGGAAATGAGCGGAGCTGACAGAGGTGGGGTATCTGGTTGTCAGGCGGGCTCAGCACCACCCACATCCCAACCATCCAGCAACTTCCCCTAGTTTGCATCAACAGAAGAGTAGCCGCCTCAGGCCACCAACAATCCAAGACAGGCCCTGCCCAAGACAAAAGCAGTGGTAACGTGCTCCTACAGCAGGCGCAGGTCCTGAGTTCGATCCCCCGGACCACAAAAACAAAACAGAAACCGTGGTGTCTCTGATGAGAGACACTAACCTGGAAGGAGGATCAGTTGTGTTTTTTTTTTTTTTTTTTATCGATACCAGGAATCAAAATCAAACCCTTGTGCTTGCCAGGTAGGCGCTGTGCCACTGAGCTATATCCCCAGCCCAGGAGCCTTCAGTCTTTGTTTTGTTTTGTTTTTCTGAGCCTCAGTCTTGAAAACAACTGCTTTCTTCTAACGCCATCTGCCCTGCCTGCAACCCCTCTTAGCCTCCCAAAGACTTGTAATTTTCAAGTCTTTCTACTAGTAGTCTTTCTACTACAGTCTTTCTATTAGTAGTCTGAGAACACCAGTTTCTCCTGTTTTCTGCCCCAGGCAGTTCCAGGGCTCTGGGCAAATGGTAGAACAAGTGAAGGTGGGTTAGGGTGGGGAGTGAAGCGCCCCCTGCTGGTCCTCACCGAGTATCTTGCTGATGCTGGAGTTGTGCATGTCCGGAAAGGCTTGCAGGATCTTCCTCCGCTCATCCTTGGCCCACACCATGAAGGCATTCATGGGCCTCTTGATGTGACTGTTGTTTCGGGACTCAGGGAAGTGGCGGGAGCCTGGGAAACAGGGGTGACTGTGTCAGCAACTCAGCCCGGCAGCTATTCCGCGGCGGCTAGAGTGACATCCCCCATGTGACCACCAGGAGGCGTTGAGGAGGCTCCCACAGCTGCAGCCCTCACCGTCCACGTCACAGCTCAGCATGGCTTCTTCCAGAGGGTGCACACAGCTCTCCTCCAGCCGCTCCTTGGCTGGGGAGGCATCCAAGCTGATGAGGTCCTGGGGTTGACAGGGACAACTTGCGCATGAACCTCCTCTGTGTCACACTCTGTACCCACCTTGCCTACCCTTTTGGTGGCCTCAGACAAGGGAGCAGACGAACCTTGCGGAAGGGGGTGCTGGGGGCACTCTCCAAGGCCCCGCTGTGGCTGTGCAGCAGCTGCCGGGCATCCTGGATGGCTTTGGTGACAGCGTCCCCTTCACCCAGGAAGCCTGTAGGAGAGGAAGGAGGAAAGAAGGGTGGGGAGCGGAGGGGTTCGTTCCAGGCTGGGCCCGAACTTCTTCAGCTTCATGCCACGCCCCTCACATGTCACCCGGTTCCGAAGCCCCCACCTCCACCACACACGCAGCTCACAGGGACACCACACACACTGGCTGCTGTCAGTGTCAACAGATGCAGGCGAGATCAGCACCCCAAACCAGGGAAAGGTCTGCACCCTGGGAGACTCCCCCCCTAAGAGGCCCTGGGCCTTGGTGCAGAAAGCTTACCCAGGGGTAGGCTGGGTGGGCTGGATGGCCGGTCCCGTGGGGCAGCCCCGTGGCTGGGGGGCCGGGGGCCGCAGGTGCCCATCTTCAGACTGGGGGAGCTGGAGGTGTTGGGCAGCTCAGGAGCCTTGGGCTTGGCGGTGAGGTTCAGAGGCTGGGAGGGCTCCTGAGGGACATCCAGAGGTCAGAGAGGGGGGCACCGCAAAGGAGTCCCCCACAACAGCACAGAGAGGACACAGACCAGCATGAGAAAAGCAGAGGAGCTGATGAAGGAATGGGGATGGCCAGCGGCTGGGCTCTGTGGGGCGCCCTGGCCAGTGGGCACAGGGCCCTACCTGCAGGGGGTGGTGCGCGGCCATGGCCCCCGGCCTCTTCACCACAGGCGCAGGGGGGCTGTGCAGCAGCTGCAGTGGGTACTCCACTGTGGAAAAGCGGCAAGGAGAAAAGCCCTGGATGAGCACAGAACAGCAGATGCCTGCTTGGCGAGGTCCCGGCACCGTGGGTGGGTGGAGGCTCAGAGCTGGCCTGGCAGCTTCCAACCCTGCCCTCCCTGGCCCCAAAACACTGCTGGGGAACCCGTTCCCTCCTCCCCAGGGGCCCTGCACTGCCATCCACATCCTCACCCCGTGCTGCCCCTCCCAACCACTCTGCAGTTCCTGAGGTGCAGCAAGGGAGGGGATATCAGAGGCTCATTCGACAGACACTGGCGTCCTGTCCCTGCTGTGTGCAGGGTGCAAACAAAGCCGCCTGCTGGGGGGTGCGCCATGTGCACGGGGTGTCGTTCTGGGTACAGAAACCTTCGGGAGGCCCATGGCTTGTGCACAGAGCCACTGAACAGCAGGCAGGATTCAAACCCAGGTCCTTCACACTCCACATCTCCTTCCCGGCAGCCCCTACTCCCTCCTCCACCTATCCTACGGCACTCTCCCTTGGCCAGGCACAGTGCCAAGGAGGGGGACAGTTCAGGGGACAGAAGCCCTTGTAGGGACCACTAAGCTCATGGCAGGTGATAAGGGCCACAGGCAGCATGTCGAGGAACTTTGTCCCTGCCAGGTGACCCAGCAGGCTTCTCAGGGAGTTGAGGTATGAGCTGAAGCCTGCATTGGGTTGCGGGTGGGGTGGGCATGAAGCTGGGGACAGGACAAAGTCGGCCCCAAGGACCTGAAGCCAACTCAGGAGCTGCCCTCCGTGCTGCAGGCCTTGGGCACCCGCTAAGCTTGCACAATGGGAGCGGACCATCAGGGCTGGCTTCACCGCCATGACACTCCTACAGCAGTTGTGAGCAGCGTGTCTACTCGGTTCCCAAAGCCAATAACCCTCTGTCCCTGTCACCCCCCCATACGGTGCCATCTTCAACTCCTCAGTGACCTCAACAGCCTCTGCTGGACCCTGCCCCAGGCAGTGCATGCCGCAGTCCCTACCACCCACAGCCAGAGAGGCACATCTGCTACTCAAATACTCAAGTGCACCCACACCCTGCACAGTCAGCCCCAGACCCTCAGCTCCCTCCTAACCACCTGGCCACGCCCCAACCTGGTCTCATGCCCCTCTTAACTCCACCACTGCCTAGCGGCTTCCACCTCAGTCCAGGGCCTCTGACTGCATCGCCCTCCACCCGCAGCTCCCAAATGCCACCTCCTCGGGACACCTCCCAGACTGTTGTATCCCCCACCGCACCCCCGGCTGGCAGCTCCTTGGGCTCAGGGTTCATACTTCACTACCCCACGGCTTGCCAGCCAGCAGCAATGCAAGACGCACAGTCACTGCTGAATTTCAGTGCCGGGGTGCGGGAGTGACATGGCCAGGGAGGGACAGGAGTGCGCAGTTGGAATCGAGGTTGCTGGAATGGAGGAGAGGGCTGGACCACAGTTACTATGCATGACACTAACATTCTGGCTGGCACACAAGTGTCCGGAAGTGGAGGGACATCCTCCTCCATCCCGGAAGCACTCTGCGGTTGGAAATGTGCCATTTTTATTCCCCAAGGGGCGCAGCACTGCAATGAATGGGTGAGAGCCGAGGGGCTCCCTCCCTGGCCTCCGGACAAGCCAGCCTCAGTGCAGCCCCTTCCCTCCCACACTCACCTGGTTTGCAAGGGATGGGCTGAATAGGCAGCGCCAGCTGGGAGTCGGGGGTGACAGGCAGAGGCTGGTGACTTGGGGGGAAGGCTGGAATCATGACGTAAGGCATGTTGACCTGCTGAAGGCAAAAGACCTTGTGTGACCCAAACAGTTCCCTGGCTACGGTCAGCCTGACACAGAGGGTGGGCCCATCTGACCCATGCTGGCTCTGTGAGCCCAGCCTCCCTGCCCTTCAGTCTTAGCTGGGGAGCGGGACATTCCGCTTCCCCCACTCGTCCCTTATAAAGGAATATACGAGGAGGAGGCCGGAGGCCCAAGGGCCATCCTCAGGGTCAGGCCGAGTGACTCAGCTTGCTTGGCATCCCTTGCCCCTGCAGCTTCCGAGGCTGGTGTCACCCCATCCTCCAGCTCTGGGGCTCCTAGGCGGGTTCCCTGTTACCTGGATCTGCTGCTGAAGGAGGTTGATCTTATGCTGCTGCTGAATCAGCTGCTGCTGTTGCTTGGCGATCTGGGAGGGAGAAAGCAAGCAAAGGGGTCCCGGGCACCGGCCCAGCATCCACAGCACCCCACAGCCTGCCTGGCCTAGCCCTGCCCCTCACCTGCTCCTGCTGCTGCCGGGCCAGCTCCATCTGTTGCTGCTGCTTCTCAAACAGCATGGCGGCCATGTTCTTCTGCTCCGAGTGGGCGGTCAGGAGCTGGTCCCGCAGGGTGGACAGCTGGTGGATCATGACCAGAAGCTGCAGCTCCTTTTCTGCCAGGCTCTCTTGGGTCCCTGCTCCCCGGTGCAACAGCCACCACGGAGAGTTCTGGTTAGTTCACCTGTCCGTCTGACGTGGACCAGGCAGTTGCTATGTCATCCCAGGATTCTGTCAAGCACGTTACCAACTTCTCTGCACTTCAGGGTGTTTTGTTTCATTTGTAGTAATGGAGTCTGAACCTAAGGCCTCATGCATACTAGGTAAGCACCATGGCACTGAGATACACCTCCAGCCTTCCCCCACTTTTTGATTTTGAGACAAGTTCTCAGTAAGTTTCCCAGGCTGGCCTTGAACTTGCAATCCTCCTGGCTCATCCTCCTGAGTAGTTGGTTGGGATTATAGGCATGGGCCACCATATCTGACCAGGGTGTTTTTAAAACATCCGTAAGTGGGCACAATAATAGGCACCTCACTAGATTACTATGAGGTGGAAGGAGCGAACGTACAGAGTACCTTTGTCCAGAATCTGGCGGGTGGTCCTCTTTTAGTGCAGGTCAGCTGGCTTAGTTTCCCTGCCCACCCATTTAGCTAATGCCTGTGCAGCGGACCATTCGCACTGCAGGCCGCAGGCCATCGGCCCCAGAATCACTCAAGGTGCCTTTGAGAAATACAGGTGCCCAGCCCACGCACCCCTCCCCCACCGGCCCTTGAGGAGCTCTGTGTTGGTATAAAGCTCCCTGGAGTGGTGGGGACCAAACACACTAGGAAAATGAGCGCTGAAGGCCCCCAGGCAGCAGCCCCACAAGACCCTCTTCTCAGTCAGTGAGGCCCCCGAAGCCTAGCATTAGTTGTCAGAAGTAAAAGTGAGTTTTCTGCCCACTACAGACTGCAAAGGAGAACGACAAGCCTGATTTCAAGGGTACCCTCCTCCAGGGCCAGATCCACACCCAAGGAACTGGGTTAGGCCAGACCTTTCCTATGTGGGGATCAGCCAGACCTATGCTTGGGGGTCCCCAATGAGGGCTGGTCATGACTGCTAGGGCCAGGAAGAAGACAAGCAGCACAGGACAGGTACGAGGGTACCAAGAACCGCCCTGCCAGCCTAGACGACACGGCCAGGCCAGCGGGAAAGGCCCGCACCTTTGACATCTTTGGTTTCCACAGAGCTTCGTCCCAGAAACCTCTCCTTCCAGTCGCTGGACAGCAGCTTCTCGATGGCCGGCACAACTGGAAGACACCACAGGCTGAGGGGCACCGCCCTGTCACCTCCCGCCCGGCCACTTCTGCCTGGGCACCCGTCATACCCTCCTGCAGGTTGCGATTGAAGTCCAGCTTCTCCTGGCTTCCAGAAGCTGCCTCAGAGGCATCCGGTCGCTTCGGCTTTGGGGACCCGCCGCTCTCTGGAGAGCTACACTCCTGCGCGAGGCACTGAACTGTCAGTGAACCCCGCAGGCACCCACCCATGGGGACCCCAGGCTCTCCCCTGCCCTACTGCTCCATCTGAAGGGTCCTCCATGCCCCACCCCTCAACCCTTGCTGGCCCTTTACCTGAAACTGTGTGAAGGGCACGAGACTCCAGGACGACAGGCCTGGTCCAGGCCAGGCTCGCTGCTGGCTCCCGGGGCTCTACCCCACCCGCGTCCCTGAACCTCACTTCCTTTCTGAAAATGGAAATGCTAATCCCTCCCAGGTCACAGGAATGTCGCTGGGATCAAGGGCCTTAAAGCATGTGAATGGGGTTTGCCACCGCAGTCGGGGCCCCAGGCCAGCTACTAATTACTAGTCCTGGACACACCCACTGCCCCAGCCCTGCCCTCCCCGGGAAGGGCTGCTCCTCTTCCCACAAGAGTTCCCCCCATCCCTGAAGCCCTGCTCCTCCAGGAGGTCCTCCCGGACCCTTCGCTCTTCCAAGCTGGATCCCTGCTTGGAACCCAAAACCCTCATTTTCACTCATCTGGTTTTTAATTATATATTCCCTTTTATTTATCTGTGTGGAATCAGACTTTTCCTGTGCTAGGAGAATTCTTGGTGATGTTGATCAGTTCTCCCACCTTGAAGGTTTTGTTTTTTGGTTTTGGTTTTTTTTTTTTGGTTTTTCTCCGGTACCGGGAACCGAACTCATGACCTTGCGCTTGCCAGGCAGGCGTTTTTGCCGCTGAGCTAAATCCCCAGCCCCAGAAGGGTTTTTAATAGTGATATAAAAAGGGGTGATAAGGCTGATTCTCTCAAACCACATGAAAAAGCTAGTAGCTTACTTATAAGCCAGACTCTCGGTGTGTACCCCCTTCCCCCCAGCTAGCCCTGGCCAGCAGTTACCACCAGGCAGTGAATCTATGCCACCCCGGCAGGTGGCTGGGCAGCCCCTCTGCTCCCTAAGCCACGCCTCAGCCCTGATAATCATTTCTGCCGGCATCTGCTGCCTGCCCAGCCATGTTGCGCACCCGCCCTGCCTGGTGGTGACGCCGGGTGCGGGGCACGGTTGTGCACTACAGAGGCAGCCAGGGACACTGCCCCAGGAGCCCCTGGGAAAGTACTGGGCACCTGAGCTGGAGCTTGGGGGTCAGCAACATCCAGGGGGTCCCGGGCGGGGTCTCCAGGCTGGGGCTCAGCCACGGCAGCCGAAGCCTGGGGAGCCTCGTGGCAAGGGTCCTTCTTCTCCTCCGACTTGATGGTGCAGTTCACCATGGTGCCAGCGCCATCCAGGGCCAGCTGGGCAGAGACGGGGCTCCTCATGGACATCCTGGAGGGAAGGAATGGCAGGGTGGAGGTGAGGCCCCGGGAGCCTCACAGGCGTGGCTCCACCCTCAGCTTCCCCAGCACCTCCGTGGGCACAAGCACAGGGTGTGTTCCTACTTCTGGAATCCACAGCAAAGTGAGAAAAACGCTCTTCTACCCCGCCGCCTTATTTTGTTTTGTTCATTTTTCAAACAAAAAGGTCTAGAAACACAACTGGTTCTCACTTCAGTACTTCTGCTTACGGCGACACTGCGACTACGGCGGATGGGCTTGTCCAAGGAGCAGACTTCATGTGTCCGTCTGTGTTTGTGTGCGTACACGTATGTAATTAGTTACTGAAATGTAAGAATCCAGAGGTCCTAAGTACATTAAAATCTGGATTCGAACTTCTAGCACAGTGACAAAAATTGGCTAGAACTGAGGAGCCGGTACTCCGTTTGCCCAGGCCAGTTTGTATTGGTTGCCACCACTCTACCAAACGAAACCAAGTATCAACTACCCTATGTGAGGCATTTATTCTTTCTGGGGTGCTCGGTTTCTGCGATCGAGCCAGGCTTGGAGCTGGAGCAGCAGACACCCACCCTCCTAAGTCATAGGATGGGCTCCAGGTTCTGGTGGGAACACAAAGCAGATTCCTACTTGGCCAGGGCCCTGCCTCTGCTAATGGGGCCCTGTGTGATGCTGGGCAGGTCGCTTAGCTTCTCCACACCTCAGTCTCCCCACGTTGTAGGGCAGTCATACGGGTCCCATGCTGGTATTTATATGTGCTTACATCAGCTGGTGGCAGTAGAAAACACAGATCTGGCGTTTGCTAAACCACTGCAGTTGGAGTGTGTTACGGTTGAGCCTTGGAATCTGCAGGGGACTGGTTCCAGGACCTGCCCCAAACTCCTGCAACACCAAACTCCGAGCTGCTCAAGTACCCTTTCTATAATGGCACAGTGCTTGCATACTGCCTGCGAACATCTTCCATATACTTCAACTCATCTCTGGGTTACTCATAACTACTACAATATAAATGCTATGTAAATAGTTGTGCTCATTGCTTTGTTTAGGGAACAGATAGCAGCAATGGGGGGGGTGTTTTTATCCCATTTGGTTGAATCTATGGGTATGGAGCCCACACAGTCAGAGGTTTAGCTGTAGAAAGACCATGGGGGCTTGTTTGAGGCAGAGTCACGGGTCCCAGTCACAAACAGAATCTCTGGAGATGGAACCAGGGATCTTAACAACCCTCCGGACGAATCTGATACGCGTTAGCTAGAGAAGTATTGTCAGGTAGTCATCCCCAGTGGAACCATAATGAGAGGCGGGGCCTAATTAGAGGTGACTGGTGGTGAGGTTCTGCCTTCGGTTTAGGATTAGTCACAATCCGATGGGCGGGGTGGGAGTAAGAAAAGCAAGAAAGCCCTGGGCAGATGCCAGTCCCTTGGACTTCCCAGCATCCAGGTAAGTGAGAAATAAATTGCTCATTTAAAATTACCCTGAGCCGGATGTGGTGGCCCACAACTAACACTCAGGAGGCTGAAGTAATCCTAACACTCAGGAGGCTGAAGCAGAAGGATCGCTGTGAGTTCAAAGCCACCCTGCACTACACAGTGAGACCTTGTCTCAAAAAATAGTAATAAAATTACCCTATCTGCCAGGCGTGGTGGTGCACACCTGTAATCACAGCACTTGGAAGGCTGAGGTAGGAGGATCACTGCAAGTTTGAGGCCAGCCTGGGCTACATAGCGAACTGAAGGCCAGCCTGAACTGCATACAAGACCCTGTCTCAAAATAAAATAAAATAACCCTATCTGTGCTGTTCTGTTATAGCAGCAAAAAGCTGACTAAGACACACAGGAATTCAATTTTTAGAAGATGTGCAGGGAAAGAAAGTCACATAGTAAAATATCCGTTAAACTGCCATGCAGTACGATACAGTACTGCAAATCTTTGGGGAGATACACTCAATAGTACAGGCTGAGCCATGGGGTAGTTCCAGGCCCTGCAGATACTGTTGTTTTCTGTACACACACAAATGTAACGTCTTTTCCATCTGAATGAAGCACTTGGATGCACTGTGCCTGTAACTTGCCATTTGAGTAACAAGAGCAAAACCAGCGAAAATTTTTTCTTTCTTCACAGTTTCACAGATGAAAGATTCATTCTTCTTGTATCAGTCAGTAACTTTAGCATTGACTTTCTTTTTCTGCTGAGAACTTTTCAGCTAATGGAAACACTTAATGGCTTCTCTTTGGCCTGTCCATTTATTAAATAAAACCACAGTCCTTTGTTTTTT